TATGAAATAATTTCCCACTCATGGGTCACTATTTATCCCACCAAAATGATTTGGTGTTTCCCCAACGTCCAACTGGTTTGCAGGAGGACAGCATTTTTCTTTTGTGTCTCTGGAGATTTGCGGTAACAGAGAGAATGATTGTTTAGTACAAACAGCTAGTTACCCCTCCACGGGACTGCTGGGTGTGACATGTTGGCGTGCAGGTAGGGGGTTTATAGGAAAGTAGTTGATGTGCTTTATTTGCCTGTCTGATGGGCAGAATAAAGGCTCCCAAAAGAAGAGCACACATGAATTCCTGGAACCTCTGTGTGTGTCACCTTATGAGGCAAAGGGGATTACCATCTAAGCTGAAGAGCTCAAGATGAGATTATCCTAGTTTCTCAATAAAACCATGAGAGGTTTTTTTTTTTTTTTTTTTTTTTTTTTTTTTAACTTTCCTAACTGTAATCATAGGAATTAGGGAATAAGGGGAAAGACGCAGAGGGGTGCACAATTGCTTCATCTGAGAATAAGGACCACGGTTTCTAGGGGCCAGATGAAGCAAGTAGATTCTTCTGTGCATCCAGAAAGGGGATTTGATGGTACCAAAATACTAACTTTTAACTGAGGAAAACTATTCATTTGGTGATTTACAGAACTCTCAGATTTATGTTGTTTTAAACCACTAAGTTTGTGGTTGTTGTTACACTAGTAATAGGAAATTAACATAGACCATGTAACTCAGCCTCCAGGAATAGAATCACAACATGACAAGCTAAATTTTGTTAAAGCCCAAGGGGCAGGCTTCCAAAGGAACTGATGTTATATATGATAAAGGTCACACACATTTATATATTGAATACAGTTTCAAGTTATTAAAAGTTAAAAAGTTTTCTGCCCAGTTGCTAGCTCAGTAGAGGGAATCCACCTAGTAAATGAAATAGAAAAGGAAAAAAACTGGGGGAATTCTTTTATCTGTGAAGAGCAGCCACTGAGAAATGATCTTTTGAATATTTATCAATATCTAATTAGCTATACATGGCGTCTACCTGGTTATTACAAGCACTTTTGAAAGATTAAAATTTTCTGAATGTAATTGATTCTCATTCAGGAAATAATATTTCTTCTTTTCCTTTTAGAAATAATAAAACAAGCATGTATAATGTATGTTTCATTAAAATAAATGGGATTATCAATAATGTGCTCAGGCAACACATCACAGACTTTTGATTTCAAGACTATTTTGTCAATTTAGAAGTTTTCGAAACTCTTTCAAAAGTTAGTTAATGTAGGTTAGATGTAGTGATGTTTATTGTATGAGAAATTTAAACCAATGTCTTTAAGTATATGCTTAATAATTAACTTAAGAGGAATAAACCAATTGTTAACATAAATTATATAGCATATAAAGATTATTGCAATTAAAAATTTAAGAAATGAAGAATGGAATTGTTTCAAAGTTATGCATGTTTTGCTGTTCAGTTTAATAGAAATTAACTTGATTTTCCTATTTGTTTCTGCATTTAATTTTCTGCAATGCATTTTTTTTTTTCTGAGACAAGGTCTGTCGTAGTACAAATTGGCCTTGAACTCACTGTGTAACCTAGGCTGGGCTCATACTTGAGGATTTACCCATGCCTCAGCTTAAGAGTGGTGAGATTATAGGCATATGCCACCACACCCAGCTTCTGCAGTACATTTTTGTAGGGAGCCCTGGGAAGGGAGCGGTATACATATAATCTTTTCAGATCATTGTGAATGTTCTTTTTCAACACTACATCAAAGCTTGACAAGGAATGTCATTTCTTCTTTCTTTCTTCTTATTTATCAGAATTGAATCAAAGACCTTTTTCCCCCACTGGGCTACACTTCCAGCCATTTTTTCTTAAGGTCTGATTGCAACCTAGAATCTGAAAACCTACAAACATCAATTAACTTTTTGAATCTTAAGACACTGTTTTTCTTTCAGTATATCTTTCATTTAGTATAATCTTTTAACTCCATAACTTAGGCTTTGGGAAGAATATTAGTTTACTCTTCCAGACTTTTACCTGTTGCCCACAATATCAAAAAATCATAATTTGTTCATATCATGAGCATTGAACATTTTCATCAGAAAATCTTTATGTTGGGGAAGAGCTATCAAGCTCATGGTGGCAGATATATATTTTCCAAATTCTATGTTTTCTCTTACCAAAGAGCTCAAGATTATCACTGGTAACAGAAATTGTTAGGTATTTTTCTTGTTTTATTACAAAAAATATTTTCAAGAAAGTATTTGCAAACTACATTATTTTGTCTATTAGTTGTTCTTTTAGGAAAAAAACAAAGGTAATTACTCTAAAATTCAAGCAGTGACATAAATGTTTTCCTTTGGCATGCAACTAAAATGGCTTATGTACAGTAATTTTTGTCACAGGATCAACAAGGTTGTGCCTCACGGGTCAAGATTTGATAAAACTTAGCTTCATTGACTAAAATGCTTTCCTTAATCAGTGGCTTTCTTAAGCAAATCTCGGCTTCTCTTACCTTTCCATGGGTGTGCGTAGAACTGACAATATTGGCTGTTATTGGTTGCTGCTGCCTTGACTGGTGCTGCAGTTCCAGCAGTTTATCACCGATATTTTTGCATTTCGAAGGCAAATATTTCCATAATGGACTTTGACTAGCAACATTATTATGAAAATAGTTTTGATCTAAGAATGCCACAACCAGATCATGGGGACTTCATGGACTACAGTTCTAAAGATAAAAACCTTTGTTTAATCACAACCACCCATTTGCACCATCTACCAAGTCTCCTTGGGAAGAACAGACAAGGCTGGCAAAATCATATGCTATTCAGCTGTGTAGATTGTGGACCTCTTGTGTCAGGCCGTGAGAAGAGTTTAGGAGAGCAACAAACTGAGCACATTCTCCATCTGGATCAAACAGACCTCGGGTTGCTACACACAAACCAAGTCCCAGTGTGGTCCTATCTGATTTTTCAAGAGGCACCAGAGATTTGAGTTTTTATGTTCTATTTTCTGATTTTAACATACACCATCTGACCAAGTCTTTGAATTTGAAATGCAGCCCAAGTAAAACAAAACCCTTTCCCACTTTGGATTTGGCTGGCCAAAAGTAAGAATCAGCCTTTACATCTCACAGAGTGATGACCTGTGGGATTTAAACTAAGAGGGAGCACAGGGAAGCACAGGCTGTTCCTAGCCCCGGGTGTGTGTTGTGACCATATTTGCTAGGGTTTCGGTCTGGGCATTGTCAGAGTCACGGGTGGGGAAAAGGCAAGCACAGGGACACCAGGGAGGGCAGATGCGTGTCTTCTTGTCATCTGCTTAGCTTTTAGCTGTCTCAGGCATAGAGTCCAAATGTGCCAAAGAAGCACCATGAAACTTTTCCTTCTGAGTCAAGCCAGAAAATCCCAACTCAAAACATGAAAGGAACTGAAGGTTGGCCGAGGGGAAACCGTGGTTATTGTAGACATCCAGGATTTAGAGTGCTGTCACTGGTGATTGTCATATAGCTACAAAATTTTAATTGCAAGGAACAGTCCTGGCTTACATTTGCTAGATGTATATATCACAAAAGTCAATCTTACCAATGACCCATGACCTTTTAATATTGTTTCAACACATCCAATCTAGGCCACTTTGTTATTAGGCAATGTAACTCTTCAGAGAGTCATAATAAATTGGGCATTAAAAATATTTTGATATAAACTGACTCATCATATGAATAAATTTTTACTAAATTCCCATTGGGTAAGAAACATTTTTTTGTTTCCAAATGACTGTGGAAGATGCTGTGGAAATAAAAACCAGGAAAATACAACTATGTTTAATTCTGTCCATGGTGAATGACAGTCAAAACTGCAAAGCGGTTTGTGGAAGGTGTGATGCTTACTTCACTCATCTATGTACTGAGCAGCTGCTCTGGGCCCCAGGCTGTCCCAGCCATTGGAGAAACAGAAAGGAGCCAAAGCCCTGACCTCACACAGCCTGCAATGCAGCAACTTTTAAAGTAAAAGAGGTAGTAAGAAAACTAGACAGTAAGGGAAGGGCCAGGAAGTTTACGCTGATCATGACATTTGGGCTCAAACCATGCATGGAGACCTGTTCCGGTGCAAATGACGAGTCACATGGACGACGTGGGCCTTCTGAATGGCACAGCACCACTCATAAGCTTGAAAGTCTAGTGTTTTCAAGGAACAGCAAGAGCCACTTAGTGGCTGAAGAATCAAGTGTGATGGCTTCCAAAACTGCACCACAGTGGTTTGTTATTCCCATACAAAACCCTAGGGTTGTACGTAGAATGATGCTGAGTTTGCAATCTCAGGTCTTCTAGATTATAGATTACATCATGTCTGACAAGAAAATCATACTTGGGATGGATTTAGCACAATGTGGGATTATACTAGCAACTCAGTAACTTTGGAATCATAATCTTATATGGCATGATGTTAATTTTTGCTAATACTTGGTTTTATGATAAGCAATCTATCCATACTTCATAGCAACCAAGATTTATTTTTCCTGTTCATGATGTGTTATCCCCACAAGGCCTGCACCGTAGCTGTGCCTTTGCTCTGTCGGTATCCTGGTAGGGTCCAGGCTAAAGGAGCCACCACCCTTAGGGATACAAAGCCAGAAATAAGTGTGAATTTGGCTAATCTGGGATGTGTAGTTCAGTATCTGAGTAGAGTCTAAGGCTCAGATATGTTTATATGACCCAGGAATCAGAACCCTAGTTATTAGAAATGAATTTAAATTTTTAAAAATATGCAAGTCTTGGAAATATAGTTTGTAAAAGTATACTGATTAAAAAAGGAAAGTAAAAAAAATCCCAGCATTTCACATTCACCTTAGGAAAAGGGTAAGCAGAAGTTAGAAATGTTACATGTGTTTTTGATTATCAGGTACTACCAGGAAAGGGACAGAAAGGTTTCTTTGTAGTACTAACTTACTTGACTATAAATTAAAATTAAACTTTAGTGGTATAAGAATATGTGTTTCTCGCTTTAGATTCCAGCAATCCTCTATAAAAAATACGCTTCTTGCATCACTTATTTATTGAAGAAAATAAATGGTTCAAGTGCTACTGCAATAATAAATCTTATCCCTGAAGTGTCTTCAAGAGATAACGTCAACACATGTGGGAGGTAAGTTCCAATAATGTTAGGATTCTCTTTACTACTTAACCTTAACATTTTTAATATTAAGGCACTATTTAGATTTCTCAGCTAAGAAAGGATTAAAAATTCCTTATCATATACTTAGAGTTGAAATCGGGGAATGTGCATTTACAAAATATAACCCAGGAGGAAAAACAGCCAACTAATATAGCAACACTGCTTCTGATCTGCTCTCATCCTGAAGCCACTTGCACCGTATCCTGGAAGGCAGGATCTTTTCTCACCCAAGAATTTCAAGGTTGGCTGGCAATTTTTGGTGAAAGCCCCATGGACCTGAACTCTTTTTAAAAGCCTGGGAATATAACCATCTTCCAAGGATCAAAGCATATAAACAACACAAGTATTTCTTCAAAGGCTACACATCCTCCCTTTTACTGAGTTGATTTTTCTCAGCTTGAGGCTTTTTGTCTTCCTCCAGGAACCAGAAATCATGGAAGGAGAAAAAACCTGAGAATCATAACATCATTGTAAACACTCTGTCATTTGGACAGTGACATCTGAGTCTGACACAGCTTAAATTCCTGACCAAATGAATGTGTTTTGAAGAAGTCCCACCACCCAGCAATTGCTTCTAAGATTGCTGACTTCATTACAATTCATTTCTGTAAGGGTTTTGAAATGGAGAATTCCCTTATAGAAATCTCTTATGTTTTACTGCCTGTATGATGAACAGAGATTAGCTTTGCATTTGCAAAATTAAATTACTTTCCCTAAGTATTTCTTAATTTTCATGCAGATGCCATTGAAAATTCTGCGAGAGAGAAAAGTTGTTAGCTGCACTTTAAATACCAGAATGTCTCTGTGCAGAAAGGAAAAAAGAAGAGGCTGAAATTAACTTTCTTCTTAAAATTGAACAGAGGTGTTCATTCTGCAGAATACACATCTGGAGAATAAGCACCTAAGGGGAAGACAATTTCATAGTTCAAATTTTGAATGTTTTTAGTGTCAATTGTTTGGATCAGTATTATCTACTCAGCGGAAAATAGGAACAGAGCTCAACTTAAACGTGAAAAGCAGCTCCACCATGGAACTAGAATCCTGGCGCTGTCTCAGGCTCCTTCTGGAAGATGAAACTTTCGGGCCTTTTGCAAATGAGTTGAGATCTACCATGGTATCATGTTCTCTGATATCTGTCTAATTTCTTTTTTTTAAGAGATTAATGCAAAAGAGGACATAATAAAGCAGATCAGAACAGAACAATTTAAAAACACAGTATTTCACCACAAGACAATCCGGTATAACAGTAGCTACCATAATGTCTCTTTCCTTGTAATAGTTGAGTGTACCTTCATACACAATGGTATCAAACATAACAAAATAGTATAAAACCATTAAAGAGAATGAAAGTTTTACAGGGCATTCAGAAACCAAATAACAGAAAATGAACAATGGCTACTATATTATCTCATTATCCATAAAAAATTTGTTTGTACTACCACACATGATAATATCCAGTAAGATACTACATGATAGAACCAATGGAAACAGAAGAACAAAAATATGGTAGGACTTCAGAGTAAGATGATATTAAATCAGCACTGGCTATTATAATGTTCTGTTTTCTTCAAAATAGCTGTTCATACCATCACAGACAATAAAATCAAACAACCCACGATAAAAGCATTCCAACTAATTAATGGAAACATTATAAGGCTTCACAGAAATGTAATGGGGAATCATGATTCCCATAAACTTTTATGTACTCCTACCATTTCTTACACTTGGGAACCTATATAGTATTTATACATTTGAGTTTATTTCACTTATGAATATGGACACAAGTTGCATTCATTTATTTATAAATACCTCAATGTGATCATTCGTTATAGCTTAGTAGTACCCCGTTGTATAAAAATACCACAACGTTTTTTACCCATTCCTCAGTTGTTGGAAACTTAGGTTGTTTCCAAGATCTGACTATTACAAATTGTGCTGCTATAAACATGGTTGCACATATATCACTGTTGTCTGATGTTTTCAGTTCTTCTGGGAATATACCTAGAAGTGGAATATCTGGATCAAATGGGACTTCCAATCCCAGCCTTCTGAAAATATACAGATTGACCTCCACACTGGTTGCACCAGTCTATACTCCCAACAACAGTGCAGGAGAGTTCTTTTGTCCCCACAGCCTCTTCAGCATTTGTTGTTGGTAGTTTTCTTGATCCTGGCCATTCTTTTTGGAGTGAGATGGAATTTCAGTGTGGCTTTAATTTGCATTTCTCTAATGAGTCATGATGATGAACGTTTTTTCATGTATTCATTTGCCATTTGTATTTCTTCATCTGAGGACTGTGTATTCATCTTGGATGCCCATTTTTGGATTGGGCCTTTGAAATTTGGGGGTTTGATTTTTTAAATTCTTTCTATGTTTTAGACAGAAGTCCTTTGTCCAAGGGACAGTTCATTAAGGTTTTTTCCCAGTTGTGGGTTTACTTTTCACTATGCTGGAGACTACTTTTGACATATAGAATCTTTTTAACAAGACATGATCCCAGTTAGTGATTCTGGGAAGTATTTGCCGTGCAGTGTGATTTCTGTTCAGGAATTCTCTACCTACTCCTATGTCTTCAAGATTTTTAACCATTTGTCTTCCAACAGATTCAGTGTTTATGTTTTAATATTCAGATCTTTGATCCATTTAGATTTTAGTTTAATACATTGTGATAGGCATGCGTCTAGTTTTAGTTTTTGGCATGTTGAGAGCCAGTTTTTCCAGCACCAGTTATTAAAGAGACTGTCATTCTTCCAGTGTACATGTTTGGCCCCTTTATCAAAGAAAATGTGGTTGAGTGTGTTTGTAGTTGTGGTTGTATCTTCTAATCTATTTCATTGATCTTTGGCTCTGTTTTGATTCCAGTACCATGTTGATTTTACTACAGTTGCTTTGCAGTATCACTTCAAGTCAGGGATTGTGATACCTCCCAGCTTGCCTTTGCTGCTTAGAATTGCCTTTGCTATTCTAGGTCTCTTCTGGTTCCTGATGAATTTTAGGAGTGATTTTTCTTGATCTATGAAGTGTGGAAAAGAAGTCAAAAGAAATGAGACAGAGAAGATTGGATGATAGGAACAGCTCTTTTGGAGAAAATGTCGTCATAATAGGTAATACTGATTTACTATCATCTTGTTTTGAAGTTTCATCAAGTTTTTGTTCTTCTGTCTCTATTGGTCTAAACAGGTTGTATCTTATTGGATTTTATTATATGTGATAATATAAACAAAAACTTTTATAGACAAGGAGATTATACAGAAACCATTGTTCATTTTCTGTTAGTTGATTCTAAATACCTTGTATTTAGTTGACTATTATCTACTTTTGAAGACCTGTAATGTCTCCAATGTTTTGGTTTTGTTGGTTTCATTCTTTACTGTTCAATTTTATTATAACTGATGATATAGGCAATTCTATTAGAGATAGCAGGAGGCATTATGGTAACCATTGTTGATCACCTTGTATTACGCTTTTACATTATCTATTATCCACCCTTTTGATTTGACTGACTCTGTTCTTTTATGTCACATTTGGTTTTACTCTCCAAAAAAGTAATAAGAACTGTGGGAGCAACAAAACCCAAAATGTGTAATTGTCATTTTACAAAAGAGAGAAAAAAAAAGTGCTCTAAATGGTATAACTGCATGTATATTTAAGTGTATAAGATAGATAATGATATTACTGAGTTTTGTTGTATCATTGAACAGAACTGTTTGCAGTCTCACTGTTGGAATGTCCACTTTATAAGCTTTAATTTTGTAACTTGAACAACTATTTCTAAGATGACAATATGTAATCCATTAAGTAGTGATTTCCTACTGTTTATTCTCTTCTATAAATCTGTATAACTTGTACTCTTTTTCTGCTTTTTTTTTCTTTTTCTCCTTAAATAAAAAAAATTGTTAAAGAGTTATATTGCTGGGATTTACATTGGGATTGCACTGAATCTGTATGAGAGTTTTTGGGATAATGGCCATTTACACAATACTTATTCTTCCTATCCATGAACAAGGGATGTCTTTCCATTTTCTGAGATCCTCTTATATTTCTTTTTTCAGGGTACTATAATTTTCCCTATATAGATATTTCACTTCTTTCATGAAATTAATTCCTAAGTATTTCATTTTTTGGTTGCTAGTGTGAAGGGTGTTGCTTCTCTTATTTCTCTGTCAGTGATTTTGTTGTTAGTGTATAGGAGTGCTATTGATTTTTGAGTATTGATTTTGTATTCAAATACATTGCTGAATTTCTTTATCATATCTAGAGGATTTTCAATGGAGTTTTGGGGGTCTTCTATTTAGAGTATCATGTCATCCACAAATAATGATAATTTAACTTCCTCTTTTTCTATCTTTACCCCTTTTATTTCTCTCTCTTGTCTCATTGCTCTGGCTAGTATTTCCAGTACTATGTTGAATAGGAGCAATGATAAGGGATATCCTTGTCTTGTGCCTGATTTTAAGGTAAAGGCCTTCAGTTTTTGGCCATTTAACATGATGCTGGCTGTCGGTTTCATTGATAGCCTTTATCATATTGAGGTAAAGACCATCTATTCCAATTTTCTGTAAGGTTCTTATCATGAATGAATGTTGCCCCTTATCAAAAGCTCATTCTGCATCTATAGAAATGATCCTGTGATTCTTGCTTTTGGCTTTATTGATATGGTGAGTTGCTTTTTTATTGATTTGTGTTTTTTGAATCATCCCTGCATGCCTGGGATGAATCCTACTTGGTCATGGTATATAATCTTATTGCCAATATTTTATTGAGGATTATTACAACTATGTTCATTGGGGAGATTAGCCTGTAGTTTTCTTTTTTAGTTGGGTCTTTCTCAGGTTTTGGTACTAGAGTAATATTTGCTTCTTGGAATGACTTAGGAAAGATTGCTTCCCTTTGTAGTTCATTGAAGTGTTTGAGGAATGTCGGCATTAAGTCTTCTTTGTATTTCTTGTACAATTCCAAAGTGAATCTGTCTGGGCTTGGGCTCTTCTTTGTAGGTAAGGACTTACTTACATTTTCAAGTTCATTAATGGAAATTGGGTTATTAAGCAGATTTACATCTTTTTGACCTAGCTTTGGTATTTCATATGTTTCTAGGAATCTCCATTTCTTCTGTCTTATCGAACCTATGAGAGTAGAGGTTTTTCAAATAGGTGTTGATGATCTTCTGTATTTCAACAGAGTCTGTAGTGATTTCACATTTTTCAGTCCTTATTGCATGAAATTGAGCTTCTTATTCCCTTTTTTAAAAATTTTATTTATTTATTTATTTTGTCTTTTTTGTTTTTATCGGTACCAGGGATTGAACTCATGACTGCCTGCTTGCAAGGCAGGCGCTTATGCCGCTGAGCTAAATCCCCAGCCCCTCTTTTTATTCCCTTTTTAAAATAAGGTTGACTAGGTCCTTATCAACTTTATTATTCTTTCCAAGAACCAACTTTTTGATTCATTGATTCTTTGGAACTTTTACTTAGTCTCTATTGCATTAATTTCTGCACTGATTTTTAGAATTTCCTCCCTTCTTTTGGGTTGGGCTTGACTTACTCTTCTTCTAGATGTTTGAGGTATAGCATATGATTGTTTATTTGTATTTGTTGTGTTTTCCTGATGTGGGAATTCAGTGCAATACATTTTCTTCTGAGGACAGCTTTCATAGCATCTCATAGATTCTAGTAATTTGTATTTGTATTTTCATTTGCTTGTAGGTATTGTTTAATTTCTTCTTTAATTTCCCCTGTGACCCACTGATTATTCAAGAGTGTATTACTCAATTTTGATGTGTTTGTGGGGCTTTCACAGTTTCTTTTATCATTAATTTCTAGTTTCATGGTGCAATGATGTTATAACATGCATGGGATAATTTCAACTCTTTTGCATTTATTTAAGTATGTTCTGTGGGCTAGTATATGGTCTATTTTAGAGAATGTCCCATGTACTGCTGAGAAGAATGTGTATTCTGATGTTGTTGGATGGAAAACTTTGTATATGTCTATCAAGTCCATTTGTTCACAGGTGTGATTCAATTCTATTATTTATTTGCTGATTTTCTGTCTGACTGATCTGTCCTTTGGTGTCAATGGTGTGTTAAGGTCTCTGTTATAATTGTTTTATTGCTAACTTGTTTTTTCAATTCTATTAATACTTGCTTTGTATAACTGGGTGCTCTGTAATTTTTGTACATATACTTATGATTTTTATCTCTTCCTCTTGAAGTTTTCCCATGACTAGTATGTAGTGACTTTCTTTATCTCTTAGGATCATTCTTGGTTTGAAGTTGACATTGTCTGCTAACAGAATAGCTACCCCTACTTTTGGTGGGAGGTTCCTTTTGACTGAAGTATTGTTTTCCATCCTTTGACTTTCAGTCTGTGAGTTTCTTTTTGGGTTAGATGGGTTTCTTGTAGATAGCATATGCTTGGGTATTGTTTCTTAATTCATTCTGCCTGTCTGTTTCTTTTAATTGGTACACTGAGACTATTTACATTAATGATTATAACAGATTTCCAACAGGCCCTGGGGAAGCCTTGGAATAACACATGAGACACCTGAAACACAAAAATATAGGAAAATGACAAAACAAAAAATCAAATTACAATCTCAAACCTCCAGCCCATCCCAAGAAACCTTAGGTTCTATGTACATAGAAGAAAATATATGCCATACACCATAATAGCAACTGAAATAAAGAAGCAACTCTGGAAAGATTTAAAGGAATTCAAACTAGAAATAATCTTCCAGGTAAAAAAGAAATGATAAAGGAAATTAAGGAAAAGCTGAACATATCTAAAGAAGACACAGTTAAAAAAATGGAGGAATTAAACAAAAAAATAGAATTGCTGGATGAGCAATATAAGAAACAAACATAATACATAAAGCAGATGTAAAGAGATATACAGGATATCAAAAATTCCATCGATGTTTTGCTATATTTGACTTTATTCTCTTCCAAAAAAAAAGTAATAAGAACTAAGGAGTAATAAAACCCAAAATGTGTAAATTTTGTTGTAAAAAAGAGAGGGAAAAAAGTGCTCTAAAGGATACAACTGCAAGTGTGTTCAGGAGTGTTAAATAGCTGACAATATTAATGTTTTTGGTTGGAACATTGAACACAATGGTTTGCAGTCTCTCTGTTTGAATGTTCACTTTATATGCTTTGATACTGTGACTTGAGCAACTATCTCTAAGACAATAATGTGTAATCTATTAACTGGTGTTTTCTTACTTTTCGTTTTTTTTTTTTTTTTTTTTTTTTTGTAGTTCTGTATTACTTGTACCCTTACATCGCTTTGTTTTGTTTTGTTTTTTCTCTTTTTCCTTTTAAATAAAATTTTTAAAAATTCCATCAAAAGCTGTAAAAAGTGCCTCAGTGAAAGTGAAGATAGATTTTCAGATCTCAAAAACAAGATTTCAGTTAGTGAACAGGAAAGGAAAGATTTTTTAAAAATAACAAGGAATCAGAAAATAACAATTCAACAACTGCAAGATGATGCAAAGAAAAACAACATAAGATTTATAGGGATAAATAAAAAAGAAAGGGGCAACATAAAGGATGTCAAGAGGATATTTAGAGAAATAATAGCTGAAAATTTCCCAAATATAAAATTGGAAACCGACATCAGTATCAGTGAAGCATATAGAACTCAATAGTCATAACCAAAATAAAAGTGCATCCAGACTATAATAATCACCATCCCAGAAATCCAACATAAGAATAGAATATTAAAAGCTGTCAGAGAGAAAAGACAGAACACTTGTAAAGGAAAACCTATCAGAATCACAGCAGACTTCTCAGCACAAACAATAAAGTCAAGAAGAGCATAGAGTGAAATGTGCCAGATCCTCAAGGAAAATGATTTCCAACATAGACTGATGTACCCTAAAAACTGTCCTTCAAAATGGATGGAGAAATAAGGTACTTCCATGACAAAAGAACAGCTGAAGAACTTCATGACCACCAAGCCAACCCTTCAAAGAACACTGAAAAATAGTTTAGATACAGTTAGGAGAAAACCACTAAGCAAAGCAGACAATTAAACAGAACAGAAAGATCAAGATGCAACAGCAGAAAGACAACAAGTCAACAATAAACCAAAGTATAACAATTATAACCATTAATGTAAATTATCTCAATGCACCAATTAAAAGAAACAGACTGGCGGAATGGATGAAGAAACAAAATCAAACCATGTGCTGTCTACAAGAAACCTATCTAACCCAAAAGGAAATTCACAGACTGAAAGTCAAAGGATGGAAAGCAATACTTCATGCAACAGGGAGGAGAGTTCTGTCTAAAAAGAGGGAGTAGCTATTCTGTTTGCAAGCAATGTGATCTTTAAGCCATATATGATCAGAAGAGATAAACAAGGTCACTACATACTGGTTAGGGGAAACTTCAAGAGGAAGCGATAACTATCTTCAATATATTTGCACCAAATCCCAGAGCACCCACTTAAATAAAGCAAGTATTACCAGAAATGAAAAACCAAACTAGCAGTAATACAATTATAACAGAAGACTTTAACGCACCATTGACTCCAAGGGACAGATCAACCAGATAAACCAAACAGAAAATCAGCAAAGAAATAACAGAACTGAATCATACCTGTGAATGAATGGACTTGGTAGACATATACAGAGTGTTGCATCCAACAACATTACAATATACATTCTTCTCAGCAGTACATGGGCTATTTTCTACAATAGACCATATGTTAGCTCACATAACATATTTAAATGAATGCAAAAGTGTAGAAATTATCCCTTGCATGTTATCAGATCATAGCACTATGAAATTAGAAATTAATGATGAGATACTGTAAAAATCCCACAAACACATGGGAACTGAATAAAAGAGTCTGAGTAATCAGAGGGTCACAAGGGAAATTAAAGAAAAATTAAACAATACCTACAAGAAAATGAAAATACAAATACAACTTACCAGAATCTATAGGATGCAATGAAAGCTGTCCTCAGAGGAAAATTTATTGCATTCAGTTCCCACATCAGGAAAACAGAATGAAAACAAATAAATACCATGATGCCACATCTCAAACATCTAGAAAAGGAAGAGCAAATCAGGCCCAAGGCCAAAATAAGGGAGGAAATTATAAAAATCAGAGCAGAAATCAATGCAATAGAGACTAAGAAAACAATCCAAAGAATCAATGAATCAAAGAGTTGATTCTTTGAAAGAATAAACAAAATCGATAAGCCCCTAGCCAACCTTATTAAAAAATTGAAAAAAGCTCAAATTCATGCAATACGAAATGAAAAAGGCAAAATCACTACAGACTCTATAGAAATACAGAAGATCATCAACATCTATTTCGAAAATTTCTACTCTCAAAAGTTTGATAACACAGAAGAAACAGACAGAGTCCTAGAAACATATGAAGTACCAGAGGTAGGTCAAGAGAGTGTAAAACTGCTGAACAACCCAATTTCTATCAGTGAAATTGAAAATGTAATTAAGTCATTACGTGCAAAGAAGAGCCCAGGCCCAGACAGATTTACTGCAGAATTCTACAAGAAACACAATGAAGACATAATGCCGACCCTCCTCAAACTCGTCAATGAAATTGAAAGGGATGCAATCCTTCCTAAGTCATTCCTGGAAGCAAATATAACTCTAGTCCCAAAACCTGAGAAAGACCCAACTAAAAAAAGAGAACTATAGACCAATCTCCCTAATGAATATGGATGCAAAAATCCTCAATAAAATATTGGCAAATAGGATGTAGCAAATCATCAAGATTATACACCCTGACCAAGTGATATTCATCCCAGGCATGTAGGAATGGTTCAATATATATAAATCAATAAACGTAATCCATCATATCCATAAAGCCAAAAGTAAGAATCACATGATCATTTCTATAGATGCAGAAAAAGCTTTTAATAAGGTCCCACATTCATTTATGAAAAGCAATTTACAAAAATTTGAAATAGATTGTCTTTACTTCAGAATAACAAAGGCTATCTATGACAAACCAACAGCCAATTTCATATTAAAGGCCAAAAACTGAAAGCCTGTACTTAACAATCAGGCACCATACAAGGATGTCCCTTATCACCACTCCTATTTAATATAGTACTGGAAATACTAGCCAAAGTAATAAGACCTGAGACAGAAATAAAAAGGGTAAAGATGGAAAAGAAGAAGTTAAATTATCATTGTTTGCAGATGACATGATACTCTACATAGAAGACCCCCAAAATTCCATTGAAAGACTCTTAGATATAATAAATAAATTCAGCAATGTAGCTGGATACAAAATCAATACTCAAAAATCAATGGCATTCCTATACACTAAGAACAAAAACATTGATAGAGAAATAAGAGAAGACATACTCTTCCAAAATGAAATATTTAGGAATTACTCTCATGAAAAAAGTGAAAGACCTATAGAGGGAAAATTATAATACACTGAAAAAAGAAATTGAGGACAATCTCAGAAAATGGAAAGACATCCCTTGCACATGGATAGGAAGAATAAATATTGTGAAAATGGCCATTCTCCCAAAACTCTTATGCAGATTCAATGCAATCACAATAGAAATACCATCAACATACCTCATAGATAGTGAGAAATCACTCCTACAATTCATCTGGAGTAAGAAGAGACCTAGAATAGCAAAGACAGTTCTAAGCAGCAAAGGCAAGGCAGGAGGCATCACAATCTCTGACTTGTAGTTATACTGCAAAGCAACTTTAGTAAAATCAACATGGCACTCAAATTAAAACAGAGCTGAAGATCAATGGAATAGATTTGAAGATTTAACCACAACTACAAACACACTCAACCACCTTTTCTTTGATAAAGGGGCCAAACATATTCACTGGCAGAATGACAGTCTCTTTAATAAATGGTGTTGGAAAACCTGGCTTTCCATACGCCAGAAACTAAAACTAGACCCATGCCTATCACCATGTACTAAATTAAAACCTAAATGGATCAAATATCTGAATATTAAAACAGAAACACTAAATTTATTGCAAGTCAAATTGTGGAAAAACCTTGAAGACATAGGGGTAGGTAGAAAATTCATGAACAGGACTCAAACTGCATGGGAAATACTTGCCAGAATGAATAACTGGGATCATCTCTTATTAAAAAGTTTCTGCACGTCAAAAGAAATCTCTAGCATAGTGAGAAGAAAATCTACAAACTGGGAAACACTCTTAGTGAACGGTCCCTCAAACAAAGGACTTCTATCTAAAACATATAAAGAATTTAAAAAATCAAATCCCCAAAATTCAAAGATCCAATCATAAAATGGACATCTGAGATGAATATACACTTCTAAGATGAGGAAATACAAATGGCAAATAAATACATGACAAAATGTTCATCATCATTTCTCATTAGAGAAATGCAATTTTAAACCACACTGAGATTCCATCTCACTCCTGAAAGAATGGCCAGGATCAAGAAAACCACCAACAACAAATGCTGGGGTGGCTGTGGGGAAAAAGGAACTCTCCTGCACTGTTGGTAGGAGTGTATACTGGTGCAACCATTGTGGAGCTCAGTCTGGAGATTTCTCAAAAAGCTGGGATTGGAAGTCCCATTTTATCCAGCTATTCCACTTCTAGGGATATTCCCAGAAGAACTGAAGGCATCATACCTCAGTGACATATGTGCATCCATATTTATAGCAGCACAATTTGTAATAGCCAGATCTTGGAAACAACCTAAGTGGCCACGAACTGAGGAATGGGTAAAAATGTTGTGACATTTTTATACAATGCAGTACTACTCAGCTATAAAGAAGGATCACATTGAGATATTTATAAATAAGTGGGCGCAGCTTGAAGTGGGCCCTGCTCATTAGTGAAATATATCAAACTCACTTGTGTGAATACCGAATAGTTTCCCTATTGTAAGAAATGATTCAACTATATAAAAGTATGTGGTAATCATGATTCCCCATTATATTGCTTTGAAGCCTTATAAAGTTTTCACTCATTAATTGGAATGGTTTTATTCTTGGCTGTTTTATATTATTGTTTGTTATGAACTGCTTTTTTGAAGAAAACGAGACATCATAATAGCTAGTGCTGATTTAATATCATCTTGTCTTGAAGTCCCATCAAACTGTTGTTCTTCTGTCTCCTTTGCTGTTATCATATTGTATCTTATTGGATTGTAATATGTCATAGTATAAACAAAAATTTTATAGGCAAAGAAATAATATAGAAACCATTGTTCGTTTTCTGTTAGCTGGTTCTAAATACCTTGTAATACTTTCATACTCTTGAATGGTTTCACACTGTCTTGATATGTTTGATGTTACAGTATTAGAAGTTATACTCAAATATTTGAAAGAAAGAGACACTATGTTAACTACTATTAAGTTGGGTTATCATGTGGTGAAACGTTATGTTGCCTAAATTGTTCTGTTCTGACCTGTATTGTTATGTTATGTCCTCTTTTATCTCAATATCCCCCTTTTTAAAATCAATTTTTATTTTGTTTTTTTTAATTAAGGAAAAATTTTTTAAAAATTAGCAGGATATATTATAGTAACTTTTTTGATTTTATATTATCTTGATTTGAAGCCCTGTATTGCTCTCACCATCTTGTTTTGACTGATTTTACTCTCTTCTGTTTTGTTCGATAGTATCAATTTTGAGGGTATAGGCAACTACTTTGAAGGCAATATGATTTACTATGATACCCACTCTGGTTTGACTATTATCTTCTTTTGAAATCCTGTAATGTCTCTAATGTTTATGTTTTATTGGTTTTGTTCTGTATTGTTTTGTTCAATTTTATTATACGTGAAGATACTGGCAATTCTTTTTAAGGTAGCAAGAGGCATTACGGTAACCATTGTTGATCACCTTGTATTCTGTTTTTACATCATGTACTATGTCCATCCTTTGTTTTGACTGACTCTGCTTTGTTTTGTCACGTTTGGTTTTATTCTCTTCCAAAAAAAGTAATAAGAACTGTGGGAGTAATAAAATACAAAATATATAATTGTTATTGTAAAAATGAGAGGAAAACAAAGTGCTCTAAAACATACAATCACAAGTGTGTTTAGGTGTGTAAGATAGATGACCATATTACTAAGATTTTGTTGGATC